TTATAATTCATCTACATCTACTCCATTTATTCTATGTATTGTGACTAACTTAATGAAGCGAGTTCATGAAAAAATTCGTCAAGCCAGAGAGCTCTGTTATTTTGATGCATCCACTGCTTTTAATTTACTTAACACCTCAATTACTCTTCTTTACACAAGTTGCTCAATTGGCGCATTACCATTAGATGTTTTTTTAACTTCAGATGAAACTGAAACTACTATCGAAAATACTATAAATTTGTTTAAAATAGTATTACCAGACAATGTATTTTATAATTGTGGACCACAAATTGGGCCTATGATTATTATTACAGATGATTCTTATGCAGAACATAATGCTATTGCATGTTGCTGGCCAACATGTATATGATTATTATGTATTTTTCACATTTTACAATCAGTTTGGCATTGGTTGTATAATTCAGGACATAAAATTCATAAAGATGATCGTACACAAATTATGACATTATTCAAAAAAGTTTTATATGCACCTACGGTTAATGAAATGGAAACTGAATTCTCAAACTTGCGATCTAAATATTTTACAAAATATGATCAGCTTGCAGCATATTGTTTGCGTCTCTGGAAACGTTGAGCTACCTGGGCATTAGCATATTGACAAAACTTATTATTACGTGGAAATCATACCAACAACTATGTCGAAAGAAGTTTTGGACTTCTAAAAGACATTGTTTTTGCACGTACTAAGGTATATAATCCAGTACAAATCTTTCAATTCATTACAATCAACATGGAGCGTTTTTATGAACGACGAATACTAGCTATAGCAAATCGTCACCCAGGTCATTTAGAAATATCAAAACGGTTCTGCTGCCCAGGATGGGAAGAAATTAATCAAGAAAATATTCAATACGATAATATAAATAATATATATTTCATTCCTAGTACAACAATTAATAATAAATATTATATCGTTGATTCATCTATTGGAACATGCACTTGTTCTATGGGATCACCTTGTAAACATCAAACGGTAGTTGCTATTAAATATCATTTAGGTTTTTTTAATTATATTGCGGCTCTTACTCTTGAAGATTGTATGACTTATAGATATATCACATACGGTAAAATTTATTAGAATTTATTTATATTTTTACATACATATATATATTGATATACTATATGTACTAATAAATTTAAAATATTTAAAAGAAACAATTGCAGAAAATCCAACATTTTATGCATCCTTGCGTGCACCAATTGTATCAGGATTCGGTTATAATAATGAAATAAACCATCAAAATATGAACCCGCTTAATGTAGATGAGCAGAATACTGAAGTAATCATTGAAAGCTCCCAAAACAGGTCCGTAAAAAAAATAAATAAATAAATAAAATACGGGCTATAAAATTTGTAAAATTAAACTTATTAATACATTATTGCTATTTTTATTAGGAACCATGAAGATAATCGTATAACATCTGTTGAACCTTTTTTAATCGTATTTTAAATGATATTAAAAATAGTCAACAGCTTCTTAGTGGAATTGAATATTTTATAAAAGGATATGAAAAGTCTGAATCTATATCAGTGGGTAAGCTGGCTGCTTATCTCTTTCAACAAAACTCTACATCAAAAAATGAATCGATTCGAAGTAGTTCAAAGATTAAAGTGCAGCCTTCATCAGTTCAACGAAGAAAGTCTCATACAACAAAGAAAAACACCGATCCATATTCAATTAGAGCACGCAAGAAAAGAACAGCACCAAAAAAAGCACATAAATTATCGAAGAACGTCTTAGCAAATAAAATAAATTAACCATTTACTGCATTTTATACTATATTATGTATTAGAATTGCTTTTTTTTCTTTGCTTAGTAATGCGTATTCAATTAAAGTTGCATTTTTAAAATTAAAAAAAAAATTCGATCGGAATCAGAGTGTTGATGATTATCAGCCACAATGACATACTAACCTGGTACACATTATCCGAGTGCGAATTTCCGTAAGTGCCGTATGAATCTTAAGTGCCGTATGAATTCCAAGTCCGAATTTAAAATACTATATCAATAAATTAAAGTATTTAATTAATCAATACAATCAATATATATATAACTAATTATATAGATATATACATATGAAATATAGTAATATATTAATCAATAGATTATATATTTTCATGAAATTATCGTCTATAAATACAAAAAATGACCGTCTAAACCTACCTCGAGTAGGTTAATCAAAAATGTCGAGAAGGCAATTTTGCTTATATTTAACTACCTAAAACCTATCCTGACCCTAATATAGGATGACCCTAACTCTAAAGTTAATCGATAACATTATTAAGAATATGAGTGCCTCCGCTTTAAACATCCCCTTTAATTAGAAAATTCTTTTTTTAATTCTATGGTACAAAATTTGTATCAATCATTGGCTGTGCTATTATTTGGCACACAACCGCCTTTTAAAGCCTCATGGATCCCCACAGATTCCTAGACTACATATTCATAGAATAACTTTTGCAAAAAAAATTTTAAAAGTTTTTTTAAAACTAAACCGCTTTTTTTTTTAAATAGAAATCGGTTTTAGAATCATTTCTATATCGCAGGGTTGCTTCAAGCATTTTAGGTAGTGTTTCTACAAAAAATTGTTCATCTCCAGTAATTTTGACCAATCAAAATTTAAGATCAAGTGTCAAAACAAATTTTTGTTTTAGTAAAAAAGTTACACGTAAAATGAAAATCAAGAAACCTGTGTTATAATTAGAGTTAGGATTATAACAATATAATGCCTATTAGTAAAACATCATGAGGAACATTTTTAATTAGGCCACAGAAGGTGGTTTTCTAATTAAAATTTAAAGATATTCTTGTTTTTTTGTAAAAATTAGTTTCATTTCGATTTTTACATTACACCTGATCCTGAAATTCGATTGGTCAAAATTACTGGGGATGACCAATTTTTGTAGGAGAGCTAGAAGCATCGATCATACGTCAAACCCATTAGTCTCAGCCCAAAACCCATTAGTTCAAACTCTATAGAGTCAGGCCATTTGATATCGTTATTATAGATACATATGTATATACGTACATTGTAAGCATCAAATTTATCCCCACCCATTTTAATTATATTGTAAAATTAAAGGCTTATCGTTATTTAGTAGACAATATAATATCAAACAGCTTATCAAAAATTTTTGGAGTACTATAGTGCATGATACTTAAAGACTACATTTGTCCCATTTTGACCCCCAAACTAAAGTGCGTCAAAAAGTTAATTTATGCATATTTTTCAA